TTTAATAATTTTCTCCTAACGATTCAATAATAATTTTTAATTTAATTGCCCATTAATAAAGTATAGTCAATTCAACTGCCTCTGGTCGGTTTGACAATTTCTTACATAACACATTTCTGAAAATCACATCATCTGAAGTGATTTGGCAACGTAGCATACGCCCACAAAATAATTCGTTCCATCTTTCTACACAGACACTGACAACCTTCGGCCTTCTGTCAAAGGGTTCATCTCACTCATTATTCCATGCCCACCATTTTGTGCAATCATCAAGTGGCTTCACGATGTAATGCTTTCATGTTCTAAAAATTTTTAATCTGTTTTTAACTGGTTCTTGTCACACAGTTGTGTGTATTTTATATAATTTTGACCATTTATCCAGCTTTCACCATGTTACTGGGTGTTTCTCTCATCCTGAACGTAAACAACAATTAGCAACATCCTCACATACTAAGTTAAGTCAATTTAAATTCATTTTACATTATTGTTGCTACTGTTATCAATGTAATTGCAGCTCCTGATGATGATGGTAAAGTCCACTGAAAGCTAGAGAGAATAAAAAAAGTATAAAGAGTCCTCTTTGCTTAAATTTTTGTCGAAGTACCCAACAAAAGGCGGAAGCTTTAATTTTTCACCTAACTGGTCTAGACGACAATTACCATGTCTCAAGTTATATATATATATACAGGGTGACTTTGAAGTTGAGTCATTAATTTTCAGATAATGATTGTAGAAGGAAGATAAACCAAAATATGTGTGTAAAAATAAAAAAAAAATTTACCTTGTTTTATAAAGTAGCCTCCCGACAAGTATTTCAGTGCGGACCTGTATTTGATCGTGAGGTCTTGGAGCACCGGCATGCCGTCCATATGTGAGGTCTTAAGTCAAATGATTCACGAACCCGTTGTACTACATTAACAAAGGCACGAGGGGTTGGTTGCACTCGATTGGGAAACCGATCCGCATAAACATGTGCCATTTTTTATTTCGTTTGAGCCACGCAACAGACACCACTATCCACTACCGACTGACACTGACTGTATACAACTGAATGAAATAATTGTAAACACATCGTTCCAAATTCTTTCGCTTTTTTGTTTCCGATGCGATGAACCGATAAGGCGGATTATATCCGTTGTCGCCAAACACGAGCACATAATATTATTATTGAGACAGGGCGGTACTCAAACTTCCAAAGGGCTATAACTTTGTTACTTTAATTTTACCAGAAAAATGGTAAAGGAAAAAAACATTTCTTTTGATCAGATCTACTCACTGTTAAAATAAAAGACTCAACTTCGAAGTCACCCTGTATATATATTCTTTGCAAAAACCATGATAAATACGCACCTTTTAAGGGTCATCCCAGTTCTCAGCCCCTACCACCCTCCCTCCCTACCTGAACCCCTGTGGGCGGCCACGTCGATTATTTGCATCCTACCCACATATTACGCGAAAAAATACCTCCGACCAAAAAACTTTTCAATGTAGTCGCCTTGAAGTTTTCCGTTGGTAAAGTTTGTATTCCACATGAAAAGAGATGCTCTTCTGCTCTGTCATCGACCGAAAAGACACAAATTACTGCACTGGCTAATCCCGAATACATCCCATGTATACGCTTGTTCCGAAACTTCGCAAAAAAGTTGCGAGAATGCCTTTACAAAGTCGACAACGTAGTTGTCAGGATATTTTTTATTCATTGTCGTTTTTTCGTGTGCTCTCTACCATGCTTTTTATACCTGATTAGTCATCAAGGCAAAGCTTGATTTCTAATCGTTTGTGACTGCTCTCATTTTACGAAAACAACTTTTTTGCGATTCAAATTTCGTAAGTCATTATTTGTTATGTTGAAGAAGCCGCAAAGGGAACACCGAGGCATCGAGGTACCGCTACTACTAAAAAAATGGCGTCGAGTAAGTTGACTCTATACTGCCCACGCAATTCTGGACAAATGGACTTTTTATAATATTCGTCATCTGAGTCAACTTCTGTACGTTCTGCTACCTTAATTGTCTGCCGGTAACTTGGCAAAAATTGGAAACATGGACTTTGAGTACGCATGATCCGAATGAATCAACTTGCTTACGTATTGGTAGGTTCATAACTGGACGGCCATGGAAACCCTTACAGCTGAACATGTGATACAGTGAACATGATTGGGGAAAAAGTATTGTGAGATTCTTCATTCGACAAAATATCTTCATATTCGTAGAAGACTGGTTAATGTCTATCAGGTATTTCATACCAAAATAACTACAGCTCTATGTTGTCACCATATCTGATTATTTATTTTCAATAATCAGAGCAATTCTCATATCGCCGAGACATCGTTGACCACTTCTCAGGTGTTCAGGTAAGAAATTCGTCACGTCGATGATCGCCGAGAGCAAGGAGCGGCTAGTGTGCATACATTGTACCTGTGATTGTACATACAAAATGTTTCTATATGTGTGAATGGTTTGAAACATATTATAAGTCAAAAAGTTGGGAATTACCTTTATTCATCGTCGCTTCCACTTACATCTGACAGTAATAAACTGTCGCTATCGCTTTCCTCGTTGAAATTGACTATAACTGGCTCTATGATGGTGTCGATGTGGTGGTCAAGCTGCCACATTTTTGCTTCTTTCTTCACAACATGACGGATAGCATTCTGCCAAGCTTCGGGCGTTACTAGCTGTATGGAAGTCTCAAGTAAAACCTTAACGTCTGGTAATTTGAAGGTTGTGCTATGGCGCGCAATATAACCCTTCACTTGAGCGCAGATGAGCTCTATTGGGTTCAGTTCACAGTGGTAGCGCGGTAACCGCAGCACAGTGACACCACATTGACGGGCCATCTCATCAGTCACGTAACTAATGTTCGCAGGTTTGTGCTGTTTAATTTTTTCATACAATTCCGCTTTCACACATGAATCGTCAAACGGGATTCCTTTTTCGCGCAACCATTGCTGCATGTCACTTTTTCGAGATCCCATAGTCGGTACACGTTCGGCTCGACAACTATGGTAGGAAGCATTATCCATGACGATCACAGAGTTGGGCTCAACTCACTGAAGCACCCCCTTGAAACCAGCTCTCGAAGCAGCTGGCATTCATTTCGTCATGTTAATCACCTCCTTTCTTAGAGACGAAAATCAAGACACACTCTTCTAAAACGCCACTATCGCTACCAATATGAGTTACGATCAATCTTTGACCTTTCCCTGATGGTCCACGAAGACCTGTTGACAAACCTTCAATGCTTGCTTGTCGGTTACTCACTACGTTTTTGTCTATCCAGGTTTTTTTAACTGTGTGACCTGCATTTACCCATGTCTCGTCCAAATAATAGATTTTTCTGCTTTGTCGACTATATTCAATCATTTCGCGTAGGTATTTTCGACGCCAGGCGACTATTTCAGGTCTCTCTATCAATACTGACTTCCGATTACGCGTTTCGTAACGAAAATTAATTTCGTGCAGGGATTTTCTCATTACCTCGACGCTCATTTGGGGTATAATTTCATGTTCCTTGATCGCTGCATGTACAGCCTTGAGGGTTGGTATCTCATTCCTAAAGAAGAATGAATGTACGGTTCGCCTTAACGCCATTTTGCTATCGTCATCCAATTTAACGGCCTTTCGTCCCTTCAAATTAAACTTTGGATCAGTAGTAGCTCCAGTTTTCTCCTTTTCATGCACCACCCTGCGAATGGTCCACTCCGGAATGCCTGTCATACTTTCACAACGCGCGAGTGCATCTCCCTGCGACATAGTTCTGTTCAGATGATTGAACACGTTGAGCACGATTTCTTTCGCGTCCCTCTTCAGTGCTTTACGAAGCCGTCTACTTGTTCCCTGGCTTTCAGTACTTCCACTCGTGCCATTTGTACTCTCCATGGTTAAGTATAACCAAAACAGTAACCACAGAAACCACAACAATAACAATCACACAACAATTCTTATAAAAACACACAATATGCGATCGCTCAACGAAACACGTTCCAATGCGTTGCCGACGCCTATTAGTCTGCCGGTCGAGGCGCGTCTTTGATTTAATTGGTTCTACCGGCGGAGAACAATCAGCCATTATTTCCATCTCTGTCTGTGCTGTTGGCCACCGCAAAGCCACAGAAACGACATATGTCGTACGCTATACGGCTGTACTGGAAGGAAGCCGGGATCGAGCTCTGATCACGTGTTGATCACGCGTATGAGTCATTACAGTTTTAAATAGTTGTAGTATAGTCAAGGATTTGCGGATAGACAAACAGACAGACACACGAAAATGAGTGACATGTTTGTTAGTGATCTATTTTTTAGTGTTAGCACCATAAATTCACACGTTTGCAATCTCGGTAATTCTATGCTATATATTAGACATATTTCACACATACATTTCCCCGCACATTTGACTTTAATACTTGGTAGAGAAATGTTTTCGACAAACGCGTCTTGTATACCACCGTAGGACTTCTATGGTCTGCAACGATATCGTGCTTATAGGCATGGTAGTTGGTTCCGTGCGATTTCATACACGGTATTTTACTTAGAATGTCAGTATACACGTGATCTTATCGTTATTCAAAAATCATCAGATCCCGAGTTGAAATCACTGATCAAAAAGTATCGATATCATATATCACAGATATTCAAAAAAAAAAGATATCGGCCATATCTAATCGTCGCACTTGCGTTGCACCTCAATAAGACCGGAAATGTTAAAGTTTCTTAGCGATTCCTGGAGGTATTCAAATTTAAACAAACAACAAACGAAAAGAATTTATAGTATTTCATCATTCAGATATCTAGCAAAGTCTCAATCATGTTAAATATTGTGATTTCCCTGAACAGAATTTACTTGGTTCCATTTTTTGATCGACCAAGAAACTCCTTTATTTAGATTTACTTTAGCAGCTATTTCTTTGAAAGAAAACTGAATAGAAGGAAAACATTGATGATAATGAAAAAAAAATATGTAATAAGGCTAATTTGATTTTTTTGTTTCAGGAACCTAGCATGAAACAGCTTCGAAACGCAAGTAAGTATTACAAATCTTGGATCTTCAATATGTAAATATAGCACTGTATATTTCTATCCAACATTTCTGCTGTTGCTTCTAATATATGTGGTGTAGTATCCTTTGGCGCAGCCAGAGCCGGATTGAGCTTTTTCGGCAAATCTATGGATTTTAGTCCCATTCTACCGATTTCAATGCGAAATCTACCGAAACACTTCTTGAATAGTAGGAATGTTTCTGATATAATCAACAAAATAGAAGAATAGAGAACGTTGCCACGCCCTCCCCCACTTCTCAATTTTCGATTACACAAATTTGGTGCAACCTTGCGATCTTAAATTTCTTAAAAAGCTGCATTCCAGCATTTGATAGACCCCCTCTTCCACTCTTTACTTTTCAAAATCAATTGGAGCTCAAGCAAGTGGCCATTCTTCTTCGATTTTCAATCAGCGGCAAGCTTTTTCTTTTTGGCTCTATGTTCACCAAAATCAACCGAAAAGTTTCGTACAAATCTACCAAAACAGATAATAATAATAATAATAATAATAATAATAAATGTCTTTATTAATCCATCAGTGAGTCGAATTTCAGCCAAAGACTCTTACTTACACTACACTTAACCTCGCTGTGTGAGGGAAACTCAATACACAAACAAAAATAATAATAAGAAAAAGAAGAGTAAGTAGACAAAGTGGAAAGATAAAGTGTTTACACTAATCTGTTACTCATGGAATAGTCTTGTCAAATACCATTCGGGCATCATTTTTTTCCTGTGAAAAAAAATCGAGAAACACAATGCAAGGTGATATTTTTTGGACAAAAAACATTCGTGCAGTTGCAAAAATCCTTGTCTTATAATAATAATACCTCTTATCACTTAGCAACGTGTTGTTTCGATTCGTTTCGGAAAAATTAGATGCCCTTATGATATTACTTATGATAAATTGGATCAGTAAATTACATAACCTGACAGCATGATACGGTGGCTTTTACTAAAAAGCCACTAGTGAACTACTTTATGGACAAACACCTTCATAGCATGAATAAACTGTGATTCCATCGTTTTGAATTTTCGGTAATCTATACCGATCCGACAAATCCAAATAATAATATAACTAAATTAAGGAATATTGCAAGGATGACAGGATCAACCTTTCAACAAATTTTTTCCTAGTCTAAGGGCCGTATCGCCAGTCGTTCCTACAATTGTAGGACGCCTTTATGACCTCCTTGATTTTCATAGTTTTCTACTTTTCCGTGTCAGCGCTCCATTTTCAGGTTATGTCACGAATATCTGTTTTCATCAATTTGTTCATGCTTTTGATTTAAATCAAGTTTTATCAGCCTGAAATTTCATACAATTCAAAAAGAAAACATAACTTCACAATCTAGAAATTTTGGAAGGAGAGAAAAGACCATGACAATCAAGAAGGCCATAAAGGCCTTTATGACCTACTTGATTTTCATAGTATTTTTTATCCTTCAGAAAGGCTGGGATATTCCTAGAGTTCTACTGTTCAGCGTCAGCGCTCTCCTATTGTGAGACTATGTTTTCTTTTTAAATCGAAGGAAATTTTAGGCTATATAACAGATGATATAAAATGGATATTTGTAATATAACCTCAAAATAGAGCGCTGACACGGAACAGTAAAAAACTATGGAAATCAAGGAGGCCATTAAGGCGTCCTACAATTGTAAGAACGACGATACGGTCCTTGAAATTTAAAATGTACTTGTTGGAATATAAGTTTCAATTAGGCATACGATTCTTGAGACAGGTTAACTATCAAATTTCAAGTTATAGATAACACCCAGGTTTTTATAATGTTCTACTATGGGGATGAGTTCCTTTTATCTATAAGTAAGTTGGGTACTTTATTTTGAAGGTTCATTTATACCATTTATGTATGAAAAATAATATCGCTCAAATGTTCACTACGACTGGATTTACAGACGTCCACGCGATGGTCGAAATTTTCAATGACATTTTGTAACATGGTCGGTTCTATGGCATTTATCTCGGCAATGATGTTGTTTTTGAGTTCTTGGAGGGTGGCTGGTTTGTTGACGTAGACTTTGCTTTTCAAATATCCCCATAAAAAGAAGTCCAAGGGAGTCAAATCGCACGATCTTGGTGGCCATGGCACATTTCCTCTGCGCGAAATCACGCGATCACCGAAAAAGGACTGCAATCGATGGATATTGACGTTGGTTGTGTGGCATGTTGCACCGTCTTGTTGGAAATAAACATCGTCCATATCCATTCCTTCAAGTTGCTGCAAAAAATAGTCCTCTATCACCACGTGATATCGCTCAGAATTGACGGTAACGGCGTCCCCGGCCGCATTTTCGAAAAAGTAAGGTCCGATGATGCCTTTTGACCACAATGCACACCACACAGTCACTTTTTGAGGATGCATCGGCTGCTCTTGATACTCACGGGGATTTTCGTTCGCCCAGATGCGGCAGTTTTGCTTGTTTACCGTCCCATTCAAAGTGCGTCAATTGGATCTTGTAGGCGTGTACATTCAAATCCATGTGAGAATGCGGAGCAAACTGGTTCTCGAAATGCCCAATTCTTGGGATCGACGCGTTGTTGATTGTTTCGGATCGTCTCTCACACTCTCCTTCACAACAGCAATATTGTCCGGTGTGCGAACGCTCCTTGGCCGGCCAGAGCCAGGCAGATTTGCCACAGAACCTGTTGCCTCGAATTTACGCACCAGACGACCGATGGTTGTTTCGTTTGGGCGGTTGTTGCGACCGAAATGTTCACGAAGCGCGCGAAACGTGTTTTTTATTTTTGCACCATTTTTGTAGTGCTCTTGAATAACTTTAATGCGGTCTTCAATCGAATACGACTCCATAGCGATCAATGGTAAACATTCAACTAACAAAATGACATGTCGGTGACAGAAAACAAAGATGGCGTCTATGTCAAATTGACGTTTACTTTCCTGCGTCCCTATTGGACAACACATGTGTTTAGGAGAAAAAAGCATACCTGAACTCTTCTCAGTTTTTCAAAAATCTGTAATATTAATTGGATCTGTATTATTTTTAAGCGACACTTCACTAACTAAGCAAATTTAAAGTGACACGATAATTGTGTGTCATTGCACATAATAAAATTCCACACATGAGTGCAAATCAATCGTATAAGATAAATATAGCAGATGCCCCAGAACTGACCCCTGCGGAACACCAGATAAAACCACAGTAGAAGGAGAGACGCCCCTATCCGTTTGAACTACCTGCTTTGTATTAGCTAAGGCCCGTATCGTCCGTCGTCCCTACAATTGTAGGGCGCGTTTATGGCCTCCTTGTTTGTCATAGTTTTCTACTTCTCCGTGTCAGAGCTCTATTTTGAGGTTATGTCACAAACATCTATTTGCATCAAATTTTGCTTGCTTTTGAGTTATATCATGTTTTGTCAGCCTGAAATTTCCTACAATTTAAAAAGAAAACATATCTTCACAATAGGAGAGCGCTGACGCTGACACGGGACAAGTGTAATCTAGAAATTTTTGAAGGAGAGAAAAGAGTATGAGCTACAATTGTAGGGCGCGTTTATGGCCTCCTTGATTGTCATAGTTTTCTACTTCTCCGTGTCAGAGCTCTATTTTGAGGTTATGTCACAAACATCTATTTGCATCAAATTTTGCTTGCTTTTGAGTTATATCATGTTTTATCAGCCTGAAATTTCGTACAATTTAAAAGGAAAACATATCTTAACAATAGGAGAGCGCTGACGCTGACACGGGACGAGTGTAATCTAGAAATTTTTGAAGGAGAGAAAATAGTATGACAATCAAGGAGGCCATAAACGTATCCTACAATTGTAGGGCCTTAGTAGCTTTCAAAAAATTGTAGATAGCTCAATGTATTTGTACTTCAGCTTGCTCAACATGATTTTGTGATTAACTGTATCAAACGCTTTTGAGAAATCAATCAAATCGACTATACCTGGCAACACTGAGCCTGTAACAAATTATATCAACAGGCCAAGGGTTGGACTCAGAGAAAAATTTTGAAAGGGTGGGAAAGGGAAAATTAAATATTTGGCCATAGAAAATTGAGGAGCGTGGAGTGGCTCTCACAAAGCGTTGGTGCACAAGGTCCGTAGCATTTGCTACTCTCGACGTAGCGACTAAGACTATTACAAAGTTATACTGTGCACCAAACCCATCTTTTTGAACAACCGACACATATTTCGCTATATCTTCAGGGGCAAACTGTTACAAAATAAATAAAATTGTACATATGTTTCTAATATTCCAGCTATCTTGGTTCCGCAGTATCTTGTGAGATTGTGAGATACCAATGTATTATTCTTATGCCATTTCAACTTGCCGAGCGCTTCTATTCACAGTTCGCAGTGACGACTGTAATGATTTTCGAAGAGTCATTTTTCCATCGCTTTTACTGCCAATAATACCGCCTTATCGCATGTATATATGTACATAAATATAAGCATCATATGTGGCACCTGCTACTAGAATTGTCTCTGATTCTAGCGTACAATTCCAATAAATACGAGAAGGCTCTTAGCGTTGCAAGCAATAAGATATTTCAAGGGATAAAATCAAGTTAAATTGTATTAAGCTTTACACAAACTGAAATATTTATAATACAATATGGGGCAAAATGGATGCCATAACGGGAATTAACTGTCCCTACCTTCACGGGCGCAATATAGCAAAATTATAAGCGCGGGGGACATATTGGTGATCCCACATTCATATCACTTTATTTTGTGGTGAAATTAATATGTTATTCATTTTCCTAGTTTCCTTTCATGAATGATGAAAAATTCTCTTCTTCTCTGCAAATTGTTTCACATTTTGAATAATGACTTTAATAAATATTTATATACCTTTCAAGTTACAATAATTACAATGTTGATCCTTGATTGACACACTTCTATAGAAGCAGATACTTGCCACACTGGAGTATTCTGACAAAAATTAAAAAAATAGCGTTGTGGTTGACCATATTGGAATTAGGATGATGTCACTCCTATTCTGCTTCTCTCACTAAGCCCTCTGATTTGATACCCGTAATAAGGTACCTGTAATAAATAAGGCCACATTAACGTTTGGATAGCTGTAACTGCGTAAATATTTGCGAAACGACCTTGAAATTTTAAAGGCATTATTGTAGATATGTTTATTACACAAGCTACATCGGAGAACTCAGAGACCTTTTCTTTTCATATAAAAAAAATATATTTTTCGAAACACTACCGTTGGCCTTATTAGGAACCCATGTATCCAAATAAGGCCACCATCTGGTTTTCAATAAAACCACAATCAAAATGTAAATCAAGACTGTATAATAAACGAAGCTATATTTCTAATTAAACAAAATTAAAAAAACACTTAAATCTAGACAGATTTAAATAAAAAAAGTCAACTTCTTTAAAGAAAATCATACAGAATCTTAGAGTTTGCCTTCGCAATGCTGACAAACAAATGATACTTTATCACCTCTACACAAGCCTACACATTCCTTATGGACATATCTTAAGCATACTACACACAGACGCATGTCACGTACTTCATCCTTATCGCATATGAAACAGTACCAGTTTTCGTCTTTATTCTTTCGGGACCTTTTGCTTTTAACGGTTCCAGACTCACTAGATTTTTTTATTGTTTTATCTAAGCCGGATGGACCTGGATTTGGGTCTTTAAACAAACCTCTTACGACGATTTGCGCAGTAGAATTGATGGCTTTTCGTCTTTTTGTGGCGTTGGCCTTCCATTCGGGTGTGGGAAGTACTTCCCTGAAACTTAGATCCAATTGATCACTGTCTATTTGACCAGTCACAAGATTTGTTGTTTCAAGAACTGCAAACTTTTGAGTCGAGTTTATTTCTTTTTCATTAGAAGTAGCTGTTATCTGTAACATTGAAGTTCCGTTAGCCATCAGTAGTGCAAGGGGTATGTCATCAGATTCTGTAAAGCTGACATCATGGTTTTCCTCATTCTCCTCCTGAACATCTGTAGCCGCCGTATTTGAATCGGGTCTCTCTGACATTAAACTGGGTATAAATGCAGTCTCCGGGATCGCAGCTGGGTCGTGTGGGTATATTCCTGTTGCGCGAAATCCTGACTGAAGATTTTCAGAAGACATGGCCCTTGGATACACTTTCCTCAAAATTTCTCAAAATCTTGCACGATTCAACTTCCTGCCAGGATACCGCTTGTAATGGTTAAGTATTTCATTTTCCCAATGATATTCGAAACTGCGGAGAACACATTTACCCAGCGGTTGCAGCACGTGTGTCGTGTTACTCGGAAGACACAATAAAGTGATGTGATGTTTTTCGGCGGCGTCAACAATAGTTGCATCCAAATGAGAAGAGGCACCATCAAAAATACGTTTTCCCTTGAACAGGACCATTGGTGGTATTGCCTGTCCAATAGCATTTCCACATGCAACTATTGTGGAATTTTCTGCGTGCTCATTAGCTACATAGTGAACACGTCTTTCACCTTTCCTCGCCAAAACATTTGGTTGGCGGTGGATGGTGAGTCTGCACCCCTTCTCATCTACATTGTAGATACGATGGGGCTAATCAGCAAACTTTCTAGTTTTTTGAAGTAGTCGTTTACAATGTACTTATTTACTTTCTGTGTCCTAGCTGGATTTAAAATCTGTGCTTTCCTTTGGCGAATATTTTCATGTCTGTCCAAAAACAACTTCAACCATTTTCTACCTGCCATTCCACTATTATCATTAAATATGTGACGAATTTTTTTGACATTAACATAGGAAAAGACGGATTTTCGCAAAATCTTTGGTGTAAGGGGCATTCCTGTATCCGATAATCGGATTATCCTTGAGCATAGTTCATCTTCCTGCTCTCTAGACAAAATTGTACGAGTACCAAGTTTTCTTTCTCGCACACCTGTACGAACATGATTGCGAAGTGTTCTTCGTGGAATTTGGTATTCTTTGGATGCACGATTTACCGACGTTCCACTGTTTATACTATCCAGTGCTTGTACAAGCGCTTCGGTTGACCACAGCGCCCTTTTCTTAGAGGGCATATTTCGACTATAGTCTCTGAAAAAAAAACATCTTAATTTAAGACATCTGCCGTAATGGCCAGCGTGTTCCTAATAAGGCCAAATGGGAACCGTTTATCATGGCCTTATTAGGTACATATAACCTTAAACATACAATTTATAAAATACAAAATATTTAAAACCTGGCGACGACAAATAACTAGCTGTATATGTTCTATAGACTTACCTGATTGAACTGACAACAGATTTCGCAAAAAGAAGCAGACAACATGAAAAATCGAAGACAAATTTAAAGTAGTAATTTTGTAAGGCACATGTTGAAAATCGACACTGGCCAACTGCGCGATCTAGCGCCGCTCCACACCTGCTGCATTTATGGGTGCTAACTCATCTCAATGAATATATAGAACTGTAGAAATCTTTAATTCTAGATGTAACTAGTGTCTGTAAAATCGACGCATGGCCTTATAAGGAGCTTGGCCTTATTTGGTACAGGTACCTATAAGAGTTACCATGGAAATTACAAATCGCCATTATGCGGCGGTCACCATAACGGGTTTAGAATATCTTCATCTTGTTTATTGAATTTCTCTCATCAAGACCTTTCATTTGATATCCTCATAATAGTAGCTAATATGGAATTGATAAATCGTCATTTTGCATTGCCATATTGAATTAAAATTGCGACATTTAATTTATTGTGTATTTTTATGCGATTCAAACCTGAATTATAAAATTTCCGCTCAATTTGTTAAGGTTAACTGGTCTAAAATTTAGTTACAAGATTTATCCTTCACTGAAATAGTTACATACATATTAGCAAGCCAAGTTGCGTCGCAAAAATAAAGACATATAAAATTTTTTATAAGTACTTAATGAAGCATAATAAGTAAATGATAAAAATTTCAAAATGATTGCACTGCTTTAAAGCCCTTTGACCTTTAATAATGTGTGGATGCACCCTGATGTGCTACGCATTCTCCAACGCGCCTAGGCATGCTTCTGATCAGGTGGTCAATGTCTTCCTGTGGTATCTCATTCCAGGCAACCACCAACTCCTCTCGAAGTGCTTCTAGAGTCTGAGGAGGACGTTGCAAATTGAGCAATCTCCTACCCATCATATCCCACACGTGCTCAATTGGGGTTAAGTCGGGAGATCTTGGTGGCCATGGTAACAATGTGACATCATTACGTTGAAAGAAGTCTATTGTGACTCTTGCAACATGTGGCCGGGCATTATCTTGTTGGAAAGTTGGATCTGCCAGGGTGTCAAGATAGGGTAAAAGATGGGGTTCTAGAACTTCGTGGATATAACGCTGCGCGTTCATGTTACCTCTGATGAAGATTAAAGGTGACCTGGAACCATAAGCTATAGCACCCCAAACCATAACTCCAACAGTGTGATGAACATGTCTTTCAACAAAAAACTGTGGATTCCTCCTTTCACCACTTCGCCTTCTAACCCTGGCACGACCATCGTGCATACCTAAACAAAATCGAGACTCGTCACTAAAGACAATACTGTTCCATTTCTGATCCCAGAGTGACCGTTGTCTGCACCACTCAAGGCGATTACGTCGGTGTTCTCGAGTTAAAGGGAGGACCCAGTGTGGCCGGTATGAAAACAAGCCAAAACTTCTCATTCGTCGGTAAACACTTCGCATGCCAATAGGTCTTCCGTGTTCTGCAAACCATTCATTTGCAATGGACATGGTAGTGGAGAAACGGTCCCTTAAGGCCAATAATCTTAGGCGGCGATCTTCACGGTCTGTTGTTCTACGGCGGCGTCCAGTGCCCCTTGCTCTTTGCGTACGGCCTTCTCGAAGCCATGCCTGACAACACCTAACCACAGTGTCTACACTTCTTTGCACTCTGATTGCAATTGCCCGAGAAGAAAGTCCAGCTTGGATGTCAAAAACCAAAATCCGAAAAAGGTTAATTCTTTACTGCGGCTGAAATATTCATTTTTAGAGCGTTAGTGAATTAAAAAAAAGCAGTATAAAAACCGGAATGTCCAACTGATACGGCTGAAAATTTTTTCACTTGTTATTTACAGTAAGATAAATACATTCACCAACTTTTATTAAAATAAAACCATTTAAACTGGGTGTTCGGATTTTATGTCACTTAGTATATGTTGACTCCGCACTGTTGCTCACTCATCGTCCACTGTCGACTCTGACTCTGCCCTCTGCGTGCATTATCCTTCAGTCGACGAGTCCAGAGCTACCGAGTTTTCTAGACCGACTGAAGCCTTCATCGAAGCTTGCTAGATGGCGGCTGAACCTTTTCGATGGGCGGCGTTATTCTGGTTGCCTACGTCGATGCACGTTACTGTAAATCCAAGTTCTAGTTACGAGGCACGGTGTTACAAAATGAAAAACATGGGTTTGTGAGTTTCTCATTTCCTATACTATCCAAAGTGGGTTGAACAGAGGGGGCAGCCGAAGATGTTGAGACGGCTGCTTCCCCGTATGACTTGCTGCGTCTTTGCGCTATGACTTCCAGATTTCGCCTGGGGGTGAATCTGCAAGTGGGACTGTTAGCGGGATGCGCCCCTCCACAGTTCGCACACTTTCGTTCCTCTTTTCCTATGAGGGGGCATGAATGTATCATGTGGTCGGAAGCACATTTTAAACATTTGGGAGGTGCTGTGCAGTAAGACTGCGCATGACCATACCTTTGGCAGCGGTGACACAGCCCAATAAGTCTAGAGTTCTTTTGAACTTCAACTCTGATTGCTAGACCCAGCAGCTCATGTTCATTGAACAGCTGCTGGGGCTTTTCAATCTTGGGCAGTATCACGACCGCCAAAGGCATGGGTGCGCCGCCACTGCGTTTGAGTCGGATAATGTGGAGAGAGGAGTATATCCCCTCTGCTCTAATTCCCCTTTGATCTCATGTTCCGAAAACATTGCGGGTATGCCTCTGACTACTGCGTGAATATTTCTTTCTGAAGGAAGTATGATGGGGCACGTCCTCCTCCCTGAACAGGCGAACGATTCTTCGGTAGTCATCCTCAGTTTTAGGCAAAATGCTGATTCCCGCATTAACGGCAACTGCGCGTTCTATCTTAATGCCTAAGCTTATAAAGGTGTAGTTTAGATGTCGCCACTTGGTCGCATTACGCATAACAATGGGCGTGATTCGCCCCTGGCGGGGTGCTGTGCTGGTCAACTCACCAGCAACGTGAGATTGTTGAGATAATGCACCATCAGTCGATGCAGTGGAAAAAGATTGAGAAGATGTGGTCGCTGCATCGACCGTCATAGGACAAGTGGCAGAAGAAGTTGATAGGTTTAATGAAGCAGATGGTTTTGAGGGGACTGTCAACTTGAATTTTGATTTTGCTTTTGGAAGAGGTGGGAAGTCATCCGTCTTGTCGGTTTTGTTCGTTTTGTCGATGCGTCTTTTCCTAGACTTGGCCTGGATGAATCCGTCATTCTGTATTTCATCGTCGGTCGATGTCACGTCAGTTAAATTTTCAAGAGGTCTTTTTAAATTGACAGCCTTGTCAGATTTAGAATTAAAATTTGCATTATTGATTAATTGTGTTACCTGGGTGGTCAGGCAGTCTATTTTACTGTTTTGATCACTAACTGTCTCAGTCAGCTCCTTTATTTGCTGGGCCTGGCTTTCGATGATCAGGGTCTGGCGCTGGATGGTTCTGTCCTTTTTCGTCTGCTACAGCTGGTGTCATCAATTCCTTTGATTTCACGGTCTCAGTCAGCTCATTTATTTGCTGGGCCTGGCTTTCGATGATCAGGGTCTGGCGATGGATGGTTCCGTCCTTTTCGTCTGCTACAGCTGGTGTCATCAATTCCTTTGATTTCTTGCTAATTTCTGTTCTCTCCTTCAGGCTGGGTCCATTCATCATCGGGGACGCTCCATGTTTTTAAATCGGATTTTCTATTGAAAAACTTGAAAACTTTCACGAGCAAAAATATGACGTATTGTTCTCATTTCCTGTTGCAGCTTGTGTGAACTTGTCCGGCGTTGATAGTTTGCATGCCACCGACTTTTGCAACAATTTGCGCCGATTTTTCAAACTCACATAATTTTCTGCTTGGTATCTGTTAGAGTGTTTCAATACTTTTGCTTCACACGCCATTTGCGAAGAAAATGAAAACTTCATTTTTTCACGTTTCAGAGCCACGTGATTATTTTCAGAAAAAAAATTGTAGCGGTCAAAATTTGGCGTTAAAGGTAAATTGTACAAAACTAGTTTTGCTCATTTCTGAATGACCAGAACTAGTTTTGATTGTTTTATTCAATGAAGCCGGAACCCGAATAAAATGTAGGGTTATGTTCTTCTTCATGTTTTGAAAATTATTTGTTGGTACTTGTGAGTGGTGGATGTTTTAATTACTATTGTTGCTAAATATTTACATAAATATGCAAAGTGAATTTCTCAAGTAGTTGAGCTATTGGAGGCTTCAGGAACACAAAAACATAACCTTATGTCAAAAGATCATTACTTTGCCACATTAACTAAAATTAAGGAGGCAAATTTGTAAAAAAGCCGACAGAGGTTTGGTAGTACAAGGCAATTCAATGCACAAAACTTGTTCTTGACGTAAAAAGAATGTAATCTGCAATTCCAAATGTCATCATTCAGGTTCTTGCTCAAATAAATAATTATTGATTAATATTATCATTATTGATTACTATTTGTCTAGAATAGAGTTTTATTATTTGTTATACTTCACACCGCATATATTTCCTCCTACAGTTGCCCTTAAGAATGTTAGATACAGAAATAAAAGTAAACAAACTAAAGCCCTCATTAGAAATATCAATAGCATATTTCAATATTTTGTGACCCATATTAGAACTGTCTATCATCGTATTACCTACGTATAGGCTTATAATTGATGAGCTACGTCAAAGCTTTAATCATACAATACAGAGGAAATCCAACAAAGCTTTAAATATCCATATCAGGATGAAAATTAGGTACCCCTATGTATGTCAAAAAATGTATCGCGAACGAGAAACTATACGATTTTCTAGGTAACATTAGATAGTCTACGTATTGTACTATTGATACCAAACCACTCTTCATGGAGACCTTAGCCACGGAACTGTGTCAAGCAACAGGCGCAGCGACGTTGTACTCTAGTAAAATCTTACAGCAACCCTTTGTTGCGCGAGTCAGTGGACTACACAGTCAGTTCACGCACACACACACACAATACCCCAGCTCGTGCTGTGAACAAAGCCCAAACTTACTTTTCGGGACCTACTACATCTGAATTTTCTAACACAGTCGTTCTTATTTGCATTCCTATATTTAGAAGGGTGCCTTTTTGGCCATACCTGTTCTTCTTCCATTTTTTCCTGCCTTAGGAAGGCAAAAAGGAACTTAGTGTTTGCCTTCTCAAAGTCATAAATTATTATAGATGCAAAAGCTGAATTGCACAGTCATATTTGTTGAACTAAATCTGCAAACATCTAAATTTGCATCTCTAGATTTTATATTCAAAACAAACATAAAATTGCGGATCAAGAATGAAAGACTGCTTCACAGAAGACTCGCACATATACACGCTTTAACTAATCTCCTATTCTCTTTATGACTCTACGCCGACTAGTTGACGAATCTGACAATCTTTTTACACTATCTCCCAAATGCACAGCATTTCGTTCACCCAAAGAGATAGCTACATTTAAATTATTAATTAAACACTCGCTTTTTTGGGCGTGAAAAAATTACAGTAGATAGCACTTTGAAGTGGAACTCGAAAATGATGTGTGATGATTTATCAGGGTAGCAAAGGAATGCAAGGCAAAGGAGTGCTGGCTAGAAATAGCGATCTTGTCAGTAAGTTAATATACGAAGATTTATGTATTGCTTATAGTTCGTTTAAATTCAAAAGCCTTGTAGTCTAATCATAGACGAAGATACCCCTGGCTTGCGAAATAACTGTAAAGTTTTATTTTATTGATGTAAGTTGTTCAAGGGGATAATTTAACCAATGTTTGTGAGAAAACTTTTTATGTGTACAACAAAGAATGAGAAAACGTTTTTTCTGGGATTCAATCGAGTGTTGGAACGAACGGAAAAACTCTTCAAATAAGATTTTTAGGTATTTATGAGACCTTCAAAATGAGACCACACACGTAAAAAGATCAGACTAATAGCAAAAAAATTATGGCCGAAAACCGAGGCAAACTGCAGGTTTTGGCACTTGTTGGTAATGCGACGATGGTTTCTCGCAGATACTTAAAATTCTTCAAATTCGTACTTCTAAATGACTACAACAAAATTGAAGTAGATTGGTTGAGTAGTTTTTGAGAATTTCTAATTGTTTATCCCAAAACACCTGTCTTCCGACTACTAGTTTACTGAGCAATATACAGGGTTCGTTCAAGTGGTATTTTATAGCAAAATACACGAGTTTACCTTGCCGCCATAAATCATAAACCATTCCGAAAGATAATTGTTGTACGTTATTATACACATTTTAAAACAAAGCGGATGTGTTTATCACCTTTTGTTGAGAAGAAAACAATTTTTTTTCAAGATTTCTTCATACCCTTGTGAATACATATTTAGAGCTGAAACTTTTACACGGTCACAGATGAGCCCTAAAGTTTATAAAAAAAATATTTCATACTGAAATGCACTGAACTGTTTGAAAGGTGAGCACGCAAACTGAAGACACAATTATGATCCAAACTGTCTTAGGCTAGACTTTGTCAAATAAGTAGGTCACGTAATCCAGTTTCTTTACGAAGAATTATAATTCCCTGGACCTTTTTTCTAAAAGTATTAATATAATATACGTCTGTTTTCGAAATCTCGTACGATTAAAATGACTGGGAGTTAAAAATATTGGAAAATAAACTCGAGAACCACGAAACAACAGTGGACAAATATCAGCCAATTGTAGAGAACTGACTGTCTTCAAAATTAGGCAAAATGCTCGGTATTATGTATGTATTGCTAATACATTATTTAAAGTTTCAGCATTCTATCTTGTATGGTTTTCAAGAGTATTCTAAATCTTTATAACATATTTGATATGTCTCCAACGTTTTGCAATTGCTCAGGAAACTAGTAGTGATGGTCGGAAGACAAGTGTTTCTGGATAAACAATTAGAAATTCTCAAAGACTACTTGACCAATCGATTCCAATTTTGTTGTACAGTATATTCAGATAAGAGATAGACCGGATGTAAACAAAAGGTTCGGGTGATTTTCACGCTAACGCCGCCGTCTCGACGTAAAACAGGAGCCCTCATTGGTCAATTCGCAATTAAATGCCTATGCCGAGAGGCAGAGCAGTCGTATCAAGGCAGAGTCACATTCAGGTTCAGACGTGTTACGTATGTCGTGTGCATCATTGCAATTTGATATTTCTTTGGACGTTTTCGTTTGTTATCTTATTAAGTTGTTGAGTTTGTCGTTGTTATTGTTATACCTTGTTATTGATTGTTATTGTTATCAACTGCTTGCGCAAAATGCCCAGTAGTACAGATACTGCCGATGAAGTTGTAAACTCCTGTAGTCCACCTAGGAAACGCTCTAAAAAAAGACACCTGAGTGCAGAAATGAAAGAGGTCATTTTGAATATATATAAGATCGAGCGCGAGGAGAACGAGGCATCAAGCATCAAAGAAATTGTTGTGAAGGTTTCTCACAAAGTTGGGGTGTGTCGCGTTTAATGTGTTAAGACAATACAAAAAAAATCACACCTTTTCTGAGCCAATGACCAGTAAACATCGCAAAAGTATTGTTAAATCATTGGATGAAGCTGATAAGCATGCGATTAGGAGGAAAGTGCATGAATTCTTCTTTAGGAATGAAATACCTACTATAGATAAAGTACTGCAGGAGGTAAATGGAGATACAACGTTGCCAAATTTCAAACGATCAACTTTCCATGCGTTACTGAAGCATTTGAATTTCAAATGGAAAAAACGGGGTCGTAATAGTTTACTACTGGATAGAGAAGAAATTGTGCTATGGAGGAGGGATTATTTAACAAAAATTGGGAAATATAGAAATCAAAACAGGAAGATTTATTACCTTGATGAAACGTGG